CGACTATTACAAATTAGTCCCCGGCCCTCCCTCTTTTCCTCCTCCTGCCAAAATGCCATACCTGGCCCTTGCCCTGGCCAGCCATCGCACTCCTTATGAATCAAAGACACCGGAGCAGACGAGAGAGGCAAGGACTTACGAGCACTTGGCTCCGACTCCCTATTTTCTCCTCTTTCTCTCTTGCAGTCGGTACATTTCTCTCCCTTCTCTCCCTGTGCATCTAGCTGTCTAGCCTGGTTGGATGATAAATCCTCAGGCGAGTTTTAAAGCACCAGTGGAGCAGAAACTGCCCAGGTTACGCTCTGTTCACACAGGTTAATATACACAGCAGGTCAACATGTATGAGGACGCATTAATGCCGATCCCGTTCTCTGCCCTTTCACCTACCCACAAGCAAAATGTTCTTTATTGCTTTCAAATTACTTGAAACTGAGGTACTTTATTGGCGTAATTATCAATAAGATATTGTACTGCTGATACAATTTACAACAAGAGAGGAAAAAACGGAAAGCAAGCCAACAAAGGAACAGCTCATACTGAGAATTCACATTTTGTTATTGTTACTCTGTAGTGGTGACAGCAGAGGCCGGAGGCACTATGTTTTCGAGTTGCTCGACCGCCTTTCCCATTCTTGTGAAAACGACAAATCAGGAATCTCCTGGAAGTGAATTTTATGACGTCTGGCAAAAACATTTACTTGGATTCAAGAATGAACTGATAAGAATATGGCTGTCAAAGGTCAAAGGTCGTGGACCACACAAAACACTTTTCAATTCAAAAATTCCTACATTAATAATGATGTAATTTCATACAAATGTTTAACATTTGACATCAGATGTTCTACATCCAAAAGGGTAAAGATCAAGTCTGTACAGACAAGGGTGGAAACCATCACTTGGCTGGTTGGCAGACTCATACGGCCGCAAGGCAGTAATTCTAGTCAAAAAACATTTTTATTTTAGATTTGACATATCATTTCTAATTCATCATTTTGAGTAACTGGTATTGACTTTAAAGCAATAGTTCAGCATTTTGGAAGATACTCCTATTCAGTGACTTCAGTGAGTAGACTACTCTCATCCAGCCCTCCAGTACTATTATAAACGACCCTCCACAACGGGTGGAATCGACTATCAGAAACTGAAGTTGCGTGATGCAACGGTATCATCACATCGAGGTGGAACCCAGACTTAGAGACGTTCACTTACAATCCCACAGATTGTAGCTTTGCACCATTGGCTCCTCAGCCCAGCACATTGTCCGAATGTCTAATCCTGCAGTTCCTCTTGTTCTAAGCAGGATTCTTATTGGAACGATACGTCATCAGTGTGGTAATAACTTGTCTCAGGATCTAACTACAGCTCATGTTTTATAGCGGATGAACAATCCAACACTTGGTGAACATTTGGACTTTTAGGTAGGAACTGAACGGCACTGCTGTGAAGGAAAAAGGCTCTCTGGATTTATAAACAGAAATGAGAGAATCATAGTGAAACATAATGCGGCACAGTAATCATTTTAATCTTGTTTATCTTAAAGAACCATTATTGAAAATACAATTTGATTTATCAGTCAGCACTATATCTGCACACAGCGAGTTAGATTAGCGAGCATAAAGAAGTACAGGCCTAATAACACACAAACGTCTTATATCACATACAAGATTTATGAGTGGCTCTGCGTGGGACTATTACTTGGGAAAGCACAGTAACTTCCCTCATGCTGTTATATGTTCCTTTTATCTTGTTGTTAAGCTGAGAGGCAAAGAGGAGAGACTGTCCGAGCTTACCCTGCTCTGCCAAGAAGCAGTCCACCACATGCGTGAAACCGCGACTTGTGAGGCAAATTTATCATGCAAGGTGATAACATACAAAGTCAGAAAAGACACAGTCAGACATGAAAATTGCCCGGGGCTTCCATCACCCCATGAACGTACACAGACGGGAGATAAAAGCAGGGAACTAGAGGTCCTGGTGAGTTGCGAGATCAGTCAGATGCTGAACTACCACACGCAGTCATTGCTTAGCTAGTGTACAGCTAACATCTGCACAGCTGGTACACTGGCTGTTTTTGAGATGAATAAAAACACAGATTTCTTCGAGCAGCACAGCTAAATGTGCGCATATAAAGTTGCCCTCAGGTAACAATTTGCAGCAAATGGGAAAGTTTCAAACCAATTCTACACTGCGCTACACTTGTATGACACATTCACTCCGTCTGAAAACTGACATTTAAAATTGATGTGTTAATTCCAGCACTGCTTGTTCAAACAACGTGGATTTGTAATGATGGACCTGCCAAAGAAGAGCTTAAGTATTAGACTGTAGAAGTGTTTACACTGTGCATGAGGAGCTAATGGAGATAAAAGACCAATCTCTGTTCCTAAGAGTCTGTTGTACGCATTCTGTTTTTGGGATAATCTCTTAAGCCCCTTTCAGACACTCCTTTCATTCATCTGATGACATCTGAATGTGTCAGTGAAGGAGTGGTCCTCCAGCAGTAAACTTCTTTGCTGGGAGTGATTTGGAGCTATCCGCAGCTATTTGGAGCATTTGAAGCCCACGCAGACTGTATATACACTAATGAGCAACAGAATTGAAACCACCTGCCTAATATTGTGGAGATCCCTTCTTGTGCTGCCAAAACAGCTCTGACCCGTCGAGGCTTGGATGACACAAGACCTCTCAAGGAGTCCTGTTGTATCGGGACCAAGACGTTAGCAGCAGATCCTTTAAGTCCCGGAAAGTGCAAAGTGAAGCTCTTGAATCAGAACTGTTTCGCCAGTGCAACCCCTAAAACAGGGGTGTCGAACTCCGGTCCTCGAGGGCCGCAATCCTGCAAGTTTTAGATGTTTCCCTCTTCCAACACACCCAATTCAAATGATCAGGAACATTATCAGGCTTCTGCAGAGCTTGATAATGAGCTGATCATTTGAATCAGGTGTGTTGGAAGAAGGGAAACATCTAAAACATGCAGGATTGCGGCCCTCGAGGACCAGGATTGGAGACCCCTGCCCTAAATGGTTGATTGGATTGCAATCTTGGGAGTTTGAAGTCAACACCTTAAACTTCATCTAACCATTCCTGAACTGTTTTTGCGTTATGGCAGGTTGCATTACACAGCTGAAACACCCCACTGCCACCAGGGAATGCTGTTGCCATGAAGGGGTTTTTGTGATCTGCCACAATGTTTAGGTAGGTGGTACCTGTCAAACAGACATCCCAGTAAGGTTTCCCAGTAGAGCACTGCAAAGAGAAACATGCTGCCTCCGCTAGATTGCCTTGTGCATCCTCCTACCATCTCTTCCTCAGCTAACAGATTGTTGAACCACTGTTGATAGGTACTAACCACTGCACATGGGTAACACCTCACATAACCTAACAGTTTGGAGATATTCTGATCCAGTAGTCTAGTCACAAATGTTGCCCTTGTGAGAGTCACTCAGATCATTTCCCTTTTTTTTTTGGTTTGCTTTCAACACACCAATTTCAAGAGCAGACTGTTGACATCCTGCCTCATATATCCCATCTCTACACAGGTAATATTGTTCACTGGTTTTAATGCTGTGGCTAACTGTATATAGTATGTGCAGTCTATAGGAGCATCCTTGAACTTTACTTGTATGTGTAGCACATACCGCACATGTGCTGTGGTTCTCTCTACCACGCATATATCTGAATAAAGCCACGAGAAACACTAGCGTAAAGGTGACCTAATAGGAAACCTGGCAACATAAACTTGTCTTTGTTTCGCTTGGAATTCCAAACTGTGACAGCCAGCGTATGCAATTGCAAATATTGACGACATTGTAATACGTTTTTTTTTTTTAAAGTTACTGTTTCCTCGTCTCTCTGCCTACAAATAACCCATCTAATAAACTGGAACTGGGACAAGTAGAGAAGCAATGTGACGCAGACTCTGGTCTGCTTCACTGGACCTGAACACAACCATTTCATCTGTTGAGCCAGCAGGCCAAATCAAGTGGTCTTTATTAAAGCTGCTTTGATGGATTCACCTCTGGCCTCCCCTGCTGTGATCTATCGCCTGTCCAGCCCTTGGAGGTCGTAATAAACTTGTTAAGCAATGGGGTCACCGCATGCAAGCAGTGTGTGTGTGTGTGTGTGTGTTGCCAGTACAGCATGTTATGTTACTCAGGTCTATCATCACAACCGACCATATACACGGCTGTATATCCAGCTGCTGGCACTGGCTCTACTTATAATGCTATTTGTAGTTCCCTCTTACATTCTGGCATGCCGGCATCATATATTTATACACACACATTTAAGATATGGTCAGGCGCAGTAGCAGCGCTGTTATCCCTTTGAGTAGTTTTACTGTCTTGAGCAGCTCCTGCATATTTCCTAATAGAGTAGTAAATCAAAGGCAGTTGAGCCTTGGTGAGTCTTTTGCAGGTTCAGTGAAGCCAAACACAGAAAAGCTTTTTTAATTAATTTTTTTTATAAAATCAATGATTTCCTATTTTGTTTTAGTATATATTTATCTATGAACAGAAAGGAAATATATCTATTTTTTTCCCCCTTAAGTACCTCTGACATTGACTGGAATAATCAGGACATGTCAGAACACCAAGATCCGGCTCACAGTTCATTACGCTTCACGTCTCATTTTTTTGCAGTTGTATTTAATTTGCAGCCGTCAGAAATGAATCACACTCGGGATCTGCATTAGGCAAAGAAAATGAGATGTTTAAGCGTTCTCTCTGTCTGTCCTTCAGTAAATGAAGCACAAGAATGAGCAGACAATGTAGATGTGTCATCTTCCACTTAGCAGAGGCCGCTGTCCTCAGGACACAGCGGCGGTGGATGCAGGTTACTGTAAGTTGAGGTGAAGCCCATCCGCTTTCTAATGGGTACCGCAGGGATCGGTGTTATTGGATGACTCATCGGATCAATGGTGCAGGGCGGTCCTCCAACGATGTCCCGAGTCCAGCATGTGTAGAAGTTTATGCAGCTAACATGGAGACACGCACCTGGCACTGTGGGTTACAGGCACCAAAGACTATATATGATTTTATTGTTTTAACAAAGTCAGAAGTGAATTTACAGCTTTGTTTCCAGATGGCATTACAAATGTTCCATTTTTGAAAGTAAATCACACAAGTGAGAGTGCATGATGTACTTTTATGAGCGAAATCACTCACAAATAAAGTTTTATGAGAGGTGTGACTGGAAGAATTGGGGATATTTCATCTCGAAAAGCCCTTTGGAAGACACAGCAAAGGGCAAAGGCGGTTATTGTTGCTGTTGTTTATGGTGTTGTTTTATGAACAATGGTAAACCGCTGAAGCAAGTGTGGGTTATCTTATGCTGTATTATGTGCAGACCGGGCTACACTTTTAAACAAACAAGTAAACAGATACCGAAATCCAAGTCGATGAAGCAGTCGGTGTGAAATTAAATAACTTTAAAGGCATTTTTTAAAAAATTTGTTGGCTTTCTTGAAGGCTATATGGCTGTTTGTGAATGTTTCCAGTCTGGACACGTTGCCTGAAAAAATATTTTACAGCAAATGAACAAACACACAACAGAATCTTAATATCAAAACAGTTTTTGCTATACAGTTTCTGAAGCTTAATTCGTGTATTTTGGGTAACTTGTCTGGTAATTGCATGATTTGATTTGTAATATTTTTTTTTTTTATCTGCAGCAAAGCTCCCTCTGTCTCCTTCCTCTCACCGCTGAACAGTCCTTATTAATACATAGCCTGGGTACCTTTATGAATAGATTTGTTTAGTGGACTTCCTCACTCAGGAATTCATTGAAACCGCAGTCATTTGCTGAGAGTCTCCACATGTCCCCAGGCAATCGCTAAAGCAATATATCCAGAGGCTGAAACCACCACAGTCTGCTTCGAGTTTCCTCCCAGAGTACATCTCTTCCCGGATATCGCTCATTGCATTTGTCTGTGACGACACCGGAACGCCATCAGAAGTTAGCCGGACGAACCATCATCGTCGTCGCGGTGGCCATCAAATTCGGACCCTTCCAGTAGTACCACTTGATACCATTGTAGCGGACCACATTGGATGAAGCGGGGTAATATATGCCATTCAGGTTGGACGGACCGCAAGCCTCAAACCACCATCCTGCAGGAATAAGTTGCGCCAGAGAGAGTTCAAGGAAAAAGTCAGAATTAATTGAATTCAAGCTCATGAAATGTAACACCCAAATGTACAGCTGTAAGTCAGCAGTAACTTTATATTGGTGCAGAGGGGAAATGAAATGCACTTCAGGACATTTACAAGGGGGAGGATAGAAATGTTTAACAAGATGGGTTATAAGGAAAGACAGATTGAGACGGTGGGGGGTGGGGGGGAGGCAGATGAGCGTACCTCCGGACGCGAGCTGTGCACACTTGCAGGTACAGCGGTCATTGTCTCTGTCCTTGGTGCTGAACTGGCTGCCGGTGTGGGTGAGGCTGCTGGTTCTTCCAGCTGTGCCACTGAAGCCCTCGGCATGAAGGCTGGATTCAGGAAAGTAGAAAAAGAGCAGGGAATTTCAGCAAAAAAATAAAAAATAAAAGCAAACACACACACACACACACACAAAAAAGCTCAGCCGCAGGCACTTCCATTCATTATTTAAAGCTGCGTTGGGCAACTTGTTGGCAGCTGCAAATGGCAATGAGTGGATACTGCCTGAAAAGTGTTTGAAGCTCAGAATTTCTAAAAATCATCCAATGTTATCTCGGTAAACTGAACACAACACGAGCATGTTTACGAAACCGGCCGGCCTGCGATTGCTTAATATCACAGGGTAGCGAAGGAATGATAAGGGGCATGTATGCTGCTTTTTTTTTTTGCTGTTCACTTTTAATTTTTCACTCTTTGTTTGATTTGTCAGCGCCTGGGGGCATATCTGGCTTTCAGAATTTAATTTTCGCAAACCAAGCAAATAAGAGCATCTCAAGTAGGTATAATCCAATGGCTCCTCTTTTCTGCAGCTCCATCTTGTCATTTGCAATCTGCACAGAGGGGAGTGCTTCTGGATAAAAGTCTTGTCTATTATAGAATTAAACTCACATAATCCTGTATGCATTATTTCAGTAAAAGTAAAATTATATACGCTTTTAAACCACTGCAGGATATCATAGCCTTTTCAGTATATGCACAATATGAGGTAGTCACTCCCACAGGTTCCCATTGTTGCTAAACATCAATATAAAAACTCAGCTAAAGAACTTCTCATTATTTTTTCTCCACGCTGTGCTTTGTGAAACAACCCAGTCTGAAAGAAATCTCTGCCCAAGTTAAATTGATTCGTTGAATTATTTTTTGCACAGTACGCGCGCCTGTGTGTTGCCGCGTCTATTTGTCCGTCCGTGTGTGCGCGTGGGCGCCGGTTTGAAGAGACTGGACGAGGAGGTCAGTCCTGCTGTCTGGCCTCTCCACTGCCCTGTCATTCTGTCTAGTTAGTGCCGCACTCTCCCCAGAGTTATGTGACCCCCCTGTGTAGCCCGGGGCACGCTGTCTGTGATGACTAAATGAAGAATCCTCCTCTTGAATTTGTAAGTTCACAGGGCAGGACAAGCGCATCATGAGGGGGGAGGAGGAGGAGGAGGCAAGTTTGAAATGACAGCGCCAGGGACGGGGATAATGATGGAATAGCAAAGAGAGAGTGGAATAACACATGAGGGGGATGTTTTGTTAGACGAGTTAACTTTTCTTTTCATGATGTGAAGCAAATTAGAGACAAATTAGACGGAATTGCAACCACACAGGCAACGGGATATCCTACTGGAAAAGGGAGCTCTGCTGGCTTCCCAAAACGTTTGCCATGACTTCCAGATGTACAAATTCAGCTTTTCCAGCAGCACCGCAGACCGCGGGCCGACCTTTTCTCAAGGTGACTGTCTTTTTTTTTATATTGTTATTGCTCGCTTTAACGACAGAGATACTGTTACATTAAAAGAATGCCCACTACTTTCTTTACTATAAGAGCAGCTATTCTTGGCTACCTCACCAAGGGGAAGGCGGTCTGTCATGTCGATGATTAATGTATGAATCTTGTTACTGAGTTTTAGGTGAAGACCTTCATGCTACTCGAGGGAGCGCACTGGATGCAGCCGAGGAAGAGAATCGCTCCGGCTGACTTGCTGCACAGCACCATGGATCCGACTTGGGGGTTTTAATATAAACACAGAAAAGCCAGCGTCTTCAGCGCGCTAGTGATGCCGGTACATATTGAACTAGTTACACCGAATATGATCTCAGATGTAGCAGGCTGCAGAGGTGATTATATTCATTCAGGTGCTTCGCCTCACACAGTGTAGCCTACAGCAAAAAACTGTGAAACACTCTGTTTTATCACGCTAATTATGTGGAAGAAATTCAGGCAAATGCAATTTGCTGCACTATTAGGGATCTTGGAAGCATACACCCACATGTGATTATGATTTGTCATCTCTCAAAGCATCAATCTGCGCAAACTTCGACAAAACAAGGGCAAATTCTGGTGAACGTATTTGAAATCCGACCTGAACTATTTCGGTTTTGTCTGTTATTTCTGTCTGTTTGAGGGGAAACATGGCTTCATCACACCCACACATAATCTTGTTAGTGATTGCTGGGTTACCGGGAGAGCTTTGTTTGAGTTGTCAGTTCCTGGCAGGGGCAGGTATTGCCGAGCATTCCTGTTATACTCCAGTGGATGTGGGTCCCCTTGGGGAATTTGTGGGGCAGCGGTAGCCGCGGTGATGTGAAAAGAAAAATGGTGGCAGACGAAAGTGGCTGCGCGCCCTCCACCTAGCTTCATCAGTTTGAATGACATTCTTAAAAATGGTCCAAGTGGTGCCTTAACTTAAGCACTTGAGGATAAGAAAGCTTAGAAAATGAGAAAATGGAGAGGAATTTGAACCGCTGATAACGGTTTTCTAATCTGCGAGTCTTACAACCCGGAGGGAAGGCGACGACTGAAAGGGTGCTACTGCATTGCAATTATGCCTTTCACAATAGAAGGCGCTTAATAAAACACTTACACTGAAGACCGAAATAAAACGCCTTCATTATAGCCTCATTCATGTCATATATCTGACAAAGTGAAAGAAAGAATTAAATTCTAGACCTGAGTGTATAATACGTGTTTTACTTTAGCATGCTGTCGTATCTCATGCTATCACTTACAATGACTTTGTGGTAACTGGATTATTTAATCATTTCGAGCCAGGGTGAGTATTCAGTTATGAATTGAAGGTGTATATATTTCCTGCTGGTAGGTTACCTGTAGTTGTTGTCCTCTCCGTCTATGTAGAAGCGATCATATTGTGAGAAGGCTTCATTCCCCTCTCTGTCTTTTAGCTGGACATGCAGACTGTATTCCTGGGAGCTGGTCAGCTTGTGGATGATGTCATTCCCCAGCCAGTGTTCCCCAGACGGCTCTCCAAAGCCCTGGATTACACACAAAGACAAGGAAACAATAGAAGGAGAAAATATTCTAACAAGGGGGATGATTTTACCGGTGGCCTGCCAAGTATTTTTGGAGTTAATATGAAAATGGACCTCAATTTAAGAAGTCACATTTATCATTCTGATGGACTATGACAGTCCACTGAGTGTAGGAAGTGAAACACTCCACTCCCAAAGCTAGAGGCTGGTCAACAGAGACTTTCATTAGCTTTAATATCTTAGCAATGCTCCATCTGGACCCACAACACTTTAATAAAATTTAAAAAAAAACTGCAATAACAGCTGCCTTGGTAACTGATCCACTGCTTGTTTGTACTTTGAAACTGGAAATCACCATAAGTTCTCATCAGAAGTCCTTGGTCTTGGCAATGGATGACAACAATGATCAATACCCTGCACATACACATGGGTAATAATATATGTGGAGGAGGGAATTAATGCTACTTAAAGATGCATGAAAATGAAACATATAGATGCAGGGAATGGTTTGATGAGGAAGCGATGAGAATCAGATGCTTTGGCTTCTGCAGTTTCCAGATCTTTACCAAAGTGAGGACCTATGAGCTAGAGGTTTCCCTTAAGCCTGAAATTAAAAATGCATCATCAGGACAACCTCTCTGCGCCCAATTGCCCCTCATTAAATCACTGCACTCCAGCATCCATCTGTACACTCTGACAGAGCGTCACTCAGCGAACGATCCCACCTCAGCTGACTGAATGTCATTTCCCAGCATTGTAGCTGTTGTGCAACGGCGAGCGAACAGTATAGTAAGACCTCTGGACATTCGGCACCGAGCAGCAACTTGATCTCTCAGAATGTCAAGTTAACATGCAGTAAGCTCAGCATCCTCGAGGGAGACTGAGAGCTATCAATTTAGATTATAACCGATATCATCCGACGAGCAGGACATCTTCCTGCTCCCCTCTGCTATAAAAGAGGATCCTATAAACATCCCTCAACAGCTGCCAGAGAGACCCCTGGGGAAGCTTGCTATTGTTTGCACCAAAACCAGAACACAGCCACCGCACCATATTGCCCCAAAGAAACCTATTACTTTGTGAAAGCTGGAGAGAAACACCTTTCACAATCACAAAGCAATGAGAGGGTTCCTCTATAAGGCCTCTGACTTGGAGCTAAAACTCCGTCTAGACAGGCAACTGAAGTGTCAACATCACTGCGGGCAGACATGATTATCACCTCTGAGGCCACGACAGCACTGATTGTGCAGGAAGTCAGAGTGCCCTCAGAGGAGCGCAGCGAGGAATCCAAAGAGAAGAAACAGGAAGCGGTAGAGAGATCCTGTGGCAAAGGCTAGAAGTCACGCTGTGAAACCCATAGAGGGGCACTGTGGGAGCTTCGAATCAGAGATATCAACTTGTGAAGAGTTTCACAACCGGAGAGAACAGCGCCGGGCGACTTTGCATCAGGAGGGCAGATTCATGGGTGGCTGCTGTTGAGATACAAGTTGGAGGCTGATCGATCGCTGGCTGGGTCGCCTGGCTGGTGCTGAAACACCCAGTAACTCCTGGAAACATCACTGATGATGCGTTTACACATCAAGATGTTTTGCACGTATTTGTAGTTTTAGCTTGAATATGATGCTTTTACATGAAGTGATTACAGTAATGATAAGGGTATTCCCAGTAATTTAATGTAAATTATATACAGCAAACTGTAGTAATCTGACCTGGTTTCCTGTATAAAGAATAACTTTGAAGTTTGCTAAAATACTCATTGGCACAGTTAAGGCTGGACTGTGGGACTTTTACATATACATGAATGTCGTTGGAAGTTCACACGATGCTAATTAAATCTCTCTGTATTTTACCGTTCCTTGAACTTTTTCATTTGCTGTCTGTGGCGCACCGGTAGGTATGGATTTTACGTTGCAAGCAATGGTTGTTTTTTTTTCGGTGCTGAAGAAGGGTGCCACCAAAGACAAAGTGAACTAGAGGAGCTATAGGAGCACTGAGGAGCCTCAGAAAAGGTCCAAGAAAAGTTTCTGGTGACCCAGAGGAGAAAGAAACTCTGCGTTCGGTAATATGATTAGTCTCAAAAGTCAAAAAAGTAGAGTGACTGACGGAGAGACGTAAGTCATTAGCACGCGTCGACAGTGTTTTGTAATTAGTCACTGCCAGAAGGGGGAGACAAAAGTTCTGCACTGCAGGATGAAGGACCAAATGAAATATTTGCTTATCATATAGTTTGATCCATTTGATTTGATGTACTGTATATGCATTTTAATTTTTTAAATTCTAATTACATAAACATGATTAATTATATGCAGCAATGTGTAAAACTTGTAACCACTTCAAGATAGTATCAGCATGAAATATCACATTTTAATTTTTTGAGCATTTATTTTTGCAAAGAGAGAAATCTTCCAGTGACATATTTGTATGCTGTTAAAGAACGTAACTGTAACAGATCACAATGGGGTTTCATTGGTCTTGTAACTTCTAAGACATAATCCACAAATGTATGATGAGTGAATCGAATCTGTAAGTTGTCATTTTAATGTCATCTTCTGAAGTGACCCAGCCAGCTGACAGCCTCAGGTCCTCAGGTTGGGCCCTTTTGGCTGTCCCAAAGTTGAGCCTAATATCTAAAGATTTTGCCACCAGGGTCCTACAACTTTGCAGAGAGAAAAGACGATGGCTGCAGTGAAATCTATTCAATCACTTCGTAAAGCTAATTTTTACACACTTGCTTTTATGTGACATTATGTTTTTATTGCTTCTTAACCCTGTAACGCCAAGTGTATCATATTTTTTGAAACTTCTACATCATCAGTGTGATTATTTTATTTTTTTTGCCTGAAAAACCTCATGTATACAATCAGATACATTCACTGCACACATAATCCACCATAGGTCGTAATTCGTGCACCAAAAATGGCTGACGTAGCAAAAAATTATACAAATTAAAACTCATGTATAAAAAAATTACTATTTATTTTGAACTCATTTTGATGAACTTTTTCAATTAAAATATATATTTGTGATTTCCCAATCTGCAAATGTGGAGAGGGCATGACTCGAGACCCGCGTCTAAATGAGGAGCGATTTGTATCTGCAAATCTGCAGGGTGTTTTCTTGCATAGAGGAATTCTTGGCACTACCAGGTGAAATTTTAGCCATTGCCAAAGGAAAATCGCAAGCACCAAAACGATAGGAATAAAAAAAAAAATCACAATAAATAATGCTGACTGGGGCTGCATTTACTCAAGCGTAGCAGATCATATTTGTCTATCAAAATGTCAGAAATAAAAGGGAAATGTTTAGATATCTGTCGAATCAGCGAAAAACGCATCCATTGCCTTTGCTCTACGGACCAATCACGCTAACTGTGAAACACAGTCGGCCCTCAAAGGTCCGTTCTGAGCCAGGAAAAACCTTGATCTGTCTAGATGTAATCTAAGTTGATGCACAAATGATGATGTGTTACAAATCAGCAGCAAATAAAGATTTACAGATAAAACTCGCCCCGCATGTATTTGTAGATTTTGTTTTAGGAGTCAAGAATGCTTACAAAAGTGTTTTAACCCCATGTAAGCATATAGCCGAGCGCATGATTCAACTGTTGGACAATGAAGTGCAGGTGCTAACAACTAATAGGCAAAAAGAAAATGTGGGGAATCCTGAAGAAGCTCTAAAAAGTGAAAAAGTTTCGCAACAAAATGTGGTCGACAGAGTGTAATATGAGAGATCGACTCAGTGCTAAAAAGCCAAATGAGTTTAATGTATCGTCAGTTATTAATCAATAAACAATAAGACAATCATTTTTATTTTTACGGCAGATAATGGAAGTCTAAATCTGCAGGTATTAAATCCATTATCCATTTAAACCAGTGGCCACGTGCTCTCCTTGTGAAACTCCGGACTCGGAGTCACTTTGTCCGGCTGCCAGACTCTCCGTTTTGTTATTGGCCTTAAGTGAAAGCAAATATATAGTAAGAGCCGCGGAGCATTTATCATCTGACCAGCCGGCCCGAGTGCAACATTTGATCAACTCTGACCACGGTCTCTGAGAATATGGAGTGTGGACCGGGGCACTGAAGCATTTTAGTACATACGTTATCTGCCATCTACAGGGCCCCTGTGCTCCCACGCCCCAGCCGGAGCCAAATATTTATCATCCACTTGTAAAAATATTGTCCTTGAAAGAGTTTTTTAAGCTCTCTTTTTTTTTTGGTCTCACTCTTTCTCCCTCTGTTTGCAGTCACAGTCCTCTCTGCAGTTTATTTCCAGTCCTAGCCGTGGCAATTGATTTGCTGGCGTGGGTGAGAGACAAATTGCTACTCGGTTCAATCAAAAACCCAAACCAGCCTCGCTCATTTGTTCTCCGTGTAATTTGACAGTCAAAAAAAGCAGAGTTTTTGTTTTTCTCTGTTTTTCTATTGTGCAAATGGAATTTCTATTGAGAAGACTTTAGGGTGAGATTGAAAAAAAAAGAAATGATTCCAAAACCATATAAATGCCAAAGGTGTCAAAACATGTTTTATTCGGGCCAAAGCGCTGGAGCAGCTTCACAGTCTCTTGTGCGCGATTGTATCGCATCCAGTTTGTTTTTAGGGGGATTACATTTGGAAATGTTGTTACTTTCATCAACACACTTGCATCCCTGCAGGAGAAAGCGACTGGGATCTTGAGGCTGGATACAAACAGTCGGTGCTGTGCGAGGCATTGAAGTACATGACATGTGTGTGTGTTTGTGCATGGCTGTGTGGGAGTATGACAGGGAGAGGGAGCGAGAGCAGGTGCAATAACATGGGGGGTGGTAGAGAACACGAGGGCGGCCAAATGCAACAACCGCAGGTCACCTGAGATCACAGGCTAGCCTGTCTCCCACGCCTCTCCTTGCCAAACCACCCGTGGATAATTATTGAAACCTCCTGTCCAGTGCTGCAGTACTGATTTGTTTGGACCTATGCTGATTGTGGTGCAAACACAACCCACCATTTTATAGTCCCTCCATCCGCGATGAAAGTCCACGGAGCCGTTCCTTCGGTGCTGCAGCACCGTCCACCCCCCACCTCTGGTCGTCATGTCACAGAACACCTGCAAGGAGAAGAGAAAATGTAGAAAGAGAGCATCTGTATTGAAAAGTGTTCTGGCAGTGAATGCTTGGTTTTGCATCTTTATTCATTCTGTGATTACTTGTCATCTTAACTATGAGCAGCAGCAGGAATTGATCGATTTAATTTTACTTTATACTACGCATATTCTCCCCAATCATATCACTTTATTCACAAGAGAATAAAACAGGATTTAGAATTGTTTTAAAGCCACCTGGTGAATGCCATGCCAGTATGTTTCTTTAACAGCTGAACAATCGAGGTCTTTCGCGGCTAAATCCTCCACCTTGTTAACAGGCTTGTTGCAAACTGTTGCTTGGTGTTGGGCGGGCAGCAGAGGATGCACCGGAGCCGTTTGACTGAATACAGCAGTGCTCTGTGCCTGGAAACCAGGTCGTCAGAAGGCAATGGAACTACACTTTAAACACCGAAACAATCAGCTGAAAAAGGTTTGAATGCTTTGTGTGTCTGAGGGGCACTGGAGACATTGAAGTGATTATCTTTCCCCTTTATCAGTGAACATTAATGTTTGCTTTATCGTTCATGAAAAATATTGATTACTGCAGCTAAGAGAACTTTATTTTCAGAAGGATTTCAGTGTGAATTTGAAGCTGACATCCAATTTAAAAAAAACAATCAAAACAAATCTTAGTGTTTTGTAAAATTAGAGAAAATAATAATTGCAGTTTGACCAGTCTGGCCGCTTTTCAGATCCAATATTCAGCATCTTTTATTTTCACAAGTATTGTTTTTTTGTTGTTTTTAAAACAAATTCCCACAAAAATAAATTCACTTGAAAGGGACTACTTGGTGGTTCTGATGCTGCTTTGACTGTTGCCATCTAGGCAGGGCTTTAGTCCTACTAAAGCAGAGGTGGAGCATGAGTGGAGCTGAGGTGGAGCATGCAAACATCTCTGTCCTGTGATCGCACTAACCTGTCACTTAAAGCAGCCACGTCTTTAATTATGCATAAGTCTTATTGCAATTTAAACATTTTAGCTACATAAAAAATCCTAATCTAAGCTACAGAGATCAAATACGTTTTTTATACCAGGCTCTACATATGTTTAATTCTGCTGTAAAGTTGAACATATTAACATGGGAGTCTATGGGGACTGACTTGCCATCAGAGCCAGCCTCAAGTGGCCATTTGAGGAACTGCAGTTGTTTTTGACACATCTGTATCAGCCTAATTTTTATTATTTGTGTTATTTTAAATTTTGGTACCCTTGGGTGCCCCTTTTTTTTCTCCAGAGTCCCAACATCAACTATTCATCCTGACAAAAATACGGATTGGTTGATCTCTAAAGCAAATCAAAATAACAACTGTGTTTTGGTGTTAGTAATGTTCAGTGCTACCAGAACCTCATTTCTATTTACAACCTTCAGCATTATTATTATTACTGTTTCCCATTTGGAGCCATTTGACATTGAAGTCTAATCAGTCAGTGTATGTATGAGTAAACAGGGATTAGTTTCAAAATGTCACATCTTCCACAACCAGAGCGGCCCACACGAGGAAAATGGAAAATAAGGTGGCAAGGAGTCCTTCTGCTATTTGAAGGATGCCTTTAAAGCCTCAGGAATACGGGGAGAACCCTACATTTCAGGGTGTCACGCAATGATATGACCCAGGTGGGAAGGAAAAACTAACATCTGAGCATGTTCTCTCATCCCTGGAGTGGGGGTTGAGGAGGAGGCTCCTGAGGTTTGGGTTACACAGAATGTTTTCCTTCGTACTTGGCTGCACATTTCGCCATGTGTGGATTTGTTTGGATGAACAAATAGGAAGGAATTGTACTCATTCACCCAGTGACGGATTTTGAAATGTAGACTTGTTAAGGGATTCATTTTAGATTTTCAAGGTGTTTTGGTGGACATGTTCCAGCCTCCTTCAGGTATGGCGATCAAATAACTGTGTGCGTTTGTTCCCGTGGGTGGTAAGATTAGATGCTATATGTTAGTGAGAAGGATCTCAATTCAACAGATGTATTCAGCACACCTCAAGGCTAAGCGGTAGGTCTTTGTCAGTTTTCTTAGGCGCTATATTTGAAGCTCTATCCAATGTTGTCACCTCAAATTTGTCAGTGACACAACCTTTGCAACCTGGAACATGGATAATTACTGATGAAACAAAATTGATTTTCCTGGCTGGTTGCTTTAATATCATCCACCAAACAGAGTCGCGCTGCATAGATGCTGATACGCTGACAGAATCCAAAGGGCTCTCTTTCGACATCTCAACTGGCTATTTTCCGTTAGAAAATGAAATGAGAGTTTTTCAGCACTTTCCCAGAATAGAAAAGCTAAATCAAGGTCAAAAGGCACTCGGTTCTTTCACCCCGAAAAACAGAGCAGACTGGCAATATGCTGTGATTATCCTCTGGCACATTACGCGCAATGTTCTGGCCTTAAATGCATCACACTGAATACAAAAACAGGCTCTTGAAATAGAATTCTCAGTTAAAGTCAATTCCCAAACGTGGTCGTTACTCTGATTTAGTCCAGATTCATATTTAATACTCCGAATTCACTTATTAGCCAAGATGGAGGCAATGTGGGGCCAAATCCATTACAAATAAATGCAAACAATTTAAGACTTATTACGGTTTTAAAAAACAGACAATGCCATGGTTACTGTTTTCAAGGGACTATCTGAGGATAAAATACATTACTCAGTGTGTGTTTACAGGAAAGCTCTAATGTGTTTAACTTTATAAACCCTGTGCTTATGTAGCTCTCAAAAGTATGCATAACAGAGTTATGAAAAATTTGAAATGAAACTGATCCAGGCTATGAATTATTTGGAGTGTAATCATCATCATTATTCACAACCTTGGTGATTTCAAGGTACACAAATGGATAGATGGGCTGATAACCGTCTCATATAGCCAGTATCCCCCATTATGTGCGCATGTGCATGCCTTTTGTCTGTGGTCCAACTGAGACAGCCCGCTCGCTGCTTTGAAAATAGGGCAATTTGTATCTGCCCCACTTTCATGCAGCCACCCAGCTTGCCAGCCACATTGGATTTAGATGGCATAGATTGAAAGCAGCAATGATTTGGGGAGTGCTAACTTGTATCAGTGGAAACGTACATTGGCCCCAGTTGGCAGGAAACACATGGCACCGCTGCCTAACACCTGGCCGCCGTGCCCACAGGAAATGAAGAGGAAGAACGCGGGGAAAACAGAGGCAGCCGGAGAATGTGCCAACAGCAAACTAGACTGAAAGTAATGAATAACAAAAAAAATGTTTCACTGTGAGCTTTCTTTTTTTTTTTTTTTTCTCCTGCTAAGCACTGAGCGTGAAGATCCCAGCCAAGAAGCCCAGATGTGATTCAAAGAAAGGATAGCCTGCTGGTGGCTGCCATGGTTGAGTTAGCAAGGGCGAGCTACTTCAGATCAGTGGAGGTACCTCCCAGGCTTCTCTGACTCTGCATTCAGCAGTGCACACTGGCTCACCATGAGGCCTGCAGGGCACCACGCTCCTGTTGCTTATTATTTTAGCTCTCCGTAACGCAGCACGGCACCGTCATCAGCCGCCATACCAAAGCCTCGGCAAATTAGCATGACATCAGACCCGTTTGTCTTCCCAGTATTTATAGTGGTACAGAAAATAATGATAAGCCTGCTGACTTTCATTATGCAGTGTGTGTGTGAGATTTTACACAGGCTGGGAAAAGCCTGTAAAGTTAATACAAGTGAAAATGACTCCACTGTTAAATACGATGAGACAAATGGACAAAAAAAAGTGTAATGTCATAGTCAGTTAGTTGATATTTGCAAGAAAAGGCCAGTGGCCTTTGAAGTCCTACTACCTTGACAGTCTGGGTGGAGTTGTGCAGGCGGATGCTGTATATTCCACTCTCTTTCACTCCAGATCGCAGGATCTCCGCACAGTCCCTGAAACTTAGTGACTCCTCCTTGGGCATATTGGAGATTTCTGCAGAAACATGCAAGCATGTGTTTACAGATGGCAACCTGACGGGTTTTGCACACAAATCCCAGCCCCATATGTGAGTTCTCTTGCAGTGTTAAGCTGTGGTTTAAGCCTGCGGTGTCCGCAGGGTAAACACGAACATAGTGTGTCTGTGATGTGAAGATACAAGCTGCTCTGGGTTATTTGTTTTTGTAGAACACCTTTATATTAATACAGTATGTTTCCTCTTAGTATCTCTCTCCTAATGTTTTGTTTAAAATAACTGATGCTAACAGTAACAATCTGAGGATCAGAACTCACTCAGCCTTACCGTTGCAGTGATTAACCATGGCCAGCAGCTGCTGAACAGTGTCTGTGAGCACGGCCTGCTGTCTCTGCAGTACGGTGCTGTTGAGTGTGGAGCTGCCCAGTTCACCCTGCAGCTGACTGACCAGTCGACTCTGCCTCTCCAGAAGCTCTTGAAGCTGCTGCTTTTCGCTCTGTAACCCCTTAAGCTCCTTCCCATACCGAGCCTCCAGCGCTAAGAGCCTCTCTTCCAAAAAACTGTCAAAGAGTGAAAAAAAAAAGAAAAGAAAATTCATTTCTCTTCTTTACAATGCACCAGAATGGAAAAGGGGGAAAAAAAGTATATAAGGAGATGATATTGTATCATTGTAAGGGGGAGAAGATTAAAAAAATAAAAAATAAATGGGCACAGGTGCAGAATCCATCCATTCAGCATTTACCTTTCACAGTGGAGATTGCACAAACTCGCTCATTTACATGAGGATGACTAATAGACATCAGCGCAACAGTCTCATTGGGCTAACATCGTATAAACACCTGTACCACAGCAGCGCTCACAGATGGCCCTGCATGCCAAGCTGCTCGATCACAGCCACGAGGCAACAACCTGACAGTGTGTGTGTGTGTGTGTGTGTGTGTGTCTTTGTGTCTGCACAAGTGGCACACCCCCACCTCCAAATGAAGATCATAAATCCCCGCAGCTTGATCTTTATGGCTTTGACTAACGACTCTGCAGCAGTTATTTATTGAAACAATCCAGCCACCCAGATTGAACAAGCTACTTCTGAGCTCGATGCACACGCAGCCACAACACTAAAAGATGGATCCCCGATCTAACGCTGTCGGCGGCGGCGCAGCATGTGGCCCAGAGAGGGAGAGGGAGCGGGATCAATCCAAATCATTTCTTACATCACTTCCATTTCATATTTGCTTTGTGGGAAAACACTCAATAAAAGTGACAAAAAAGAGCTAATAAAATGCTCTGCGTTGTGTGTATTTTACTTTGAGGAACAGGCGAAGTGTAGCGCATGGCATGAAACCAGCTCGGCGATGTTTGAACAGTTAGGGGAGTTGACAGAACAAATACGGCATTTTGGATCACATTGCATTCCGGGTTATTAAATTGTTATGCTTATGATATTGTGCTATTTATTATTATTGCAATTATACAGTGTATTTCTATTAGTCTGCTCTCTTTCTTTTTCTCAGTGCTCTGCGGTTCCTGGAAATAGTATTTTACATGTAATGCCTATGAAAACAAATATGTCTCTCTGCCCTTTTTAGCTTGGCAGCAGTTCAAAAACTGGCTCCGTGCCCTTAAGGCTCAGCAGCCACCGACAACCGCCGCAGCCCTAATTTCCCTCTTATTCCACAGTCGCCTGGCTGCAAACCCGCTATTGCATTCCTAATTTCTTGCATCCTGCCGTTGAGTTTACCCTTGTCAAGCCGTATTCATTTATTTACATGTCAGAGCCGTGTCAAGAACTTGAAGGACCGGGGGGCTGAAAGGGCAGAGCGGGGCCAAGCACGGCCAGATGTGTAACAGGTGTTGGGTGCCGGGCCGTCGTGTCCTCCCCTTGGTCTACATTCGCTACAAATGGATGGAGGGATTAACAACCAGATGCAAAGATAGACAACACCGGCTCCCCTTCACACCAGGCAGAGCCCAAGTCCTTAACCCGTCCCTGGCCCTTACTTGACCCTGTGTTCCTAGAGAGAAGAATGGGAAACCCCTCCTAAGTCCTTTCACTGGCAAACACGCACATGCTCGCACAATACACATTATGCTGTCATTAAGTGCCCTGTTTGTTGAAAGCGTTCGACGTATTCTTTTGCAGTTCACGCATGTACACATACACACTATATTGCACTTTGGAGGGGCCTTTATGTTCTGCCACCCGGTGTGAAGTGGCTTTTTCCTGAGAAAGCATTCTGTGGTGCAAAAAAAGGAGGAGATGCATTTTATGTTTCCCACAGTGGTCACACCAGCTCATTTCATTAGTCAACTAAAAGCAAAGCAGGCAAGGAAAATGGCACCACTAACAAAAACAGCACAAGTTTTCAGGAGATTTCTGGGGAAGCGAAGAGCAAAAGCAACCTCAACAATGACTGCGTAACATGACTTTGTGATGACTGTGAGTCACCTTTACCTTAAGTGCTCAACTTAATAGATCCAAAAATGATGGGACTGCACACAGCAAAAGTCCCGTAAGTGTTGCAGTGCTCAAAAATATACTTCCCTGAATAGTCTTCTGAAGGGTGCTCACCTGTTTTTATCACCGAGGCGTGAGATCTCCTGAGTCTGCAGGAGAATATGTTTCTCCAGCCGGTTGGTGAAGAGCGAGTACTCAAGCAGTTGGATCTCCAGGCGACTTGTCTGGTTTAACACCTATGGATTGTTAAAAAATAAAAAACAACAACTGAAGAATAGCTACCTCACAGTGCTTTACGAAAAGATGGACGAGAGTGATGTGAGAGGATAAAAATAAAAGGGGGGTGCCCGCTAGACGAATTCATAAAAAGGACCCTTTGGGATAAACAGTGTCGCGCAACACATCACAAAGCTCATAATTCGCAAAATTGATTGATCTTGTAATCAAAACTTGAGCGAGAATGATCTCACGCGCACCTGTGACATGTTTTGAAGCCGCAGATGAAACGCAAAACTTGAACAAAGCAGCTCGGATATTTGTACAGGTTCGCCGTTTCATATCGACTTTGATAAGGGAAAAAGTAAGCATGACGACCAAAACAGCCCAATCTGTAATAACAAACTCTGTGGCATGATTGAAGACACATCTGTGTTGTGCTACTGAGCTTTATGTTTTAATTGGCTTGTCGTCAGACGCCAAGCTCGACTCATTGTGTCAATCAGAGCCTGCAGAACCGAATACCAGCTGTTTTATAGCGTTTTGCCGCCACCTTTGGGCACGGCTTCTCAACAGGAAACATCTGATTTGCATTTAATTAGCTATTCACCGAGTGTTTCGCGAGTGATATCATTTGTTTTTGCGTCGGTGCGACCCCCACGGTGGTTCATTTGGATTGGCTGCAAACAAGATTTTTTTTCCCAGGTTCGCTCCGATGCTTCCTGATCGGCTCACCTGTGTCTCGACGTCTGTCAGTTTGCGAGTCTGCTCTGCAGATTGGCTGAGGAGGTTGGTTCCCATCTCCAGCATGGCAGCTGTCTGAGTGTGCACCGCAGTTCTCTTTATTTCCTCCATCCCAGAGCGCACATTCTCCTGGATGAAGTTCTCCAGCTGGAGGGAGAACAAGCAGAGAGTTTTTATCCAGGATGTCAGATTTCCTACCTCCATCGCGGTGATAATCATATTTTGTCAGCCCGCGTCCCTATACGTTGGCTGACAGCTTCATGCAGTGTGAAAGAGGCAACCTTCACGCGATCCGTCTTTTTCACCTCAATCTTCTCAGGCACTGTGATGGAGTCGTGGAATTTAGCTTCCCTTGGGCTCTTGTGGTGTCTCGCCACCCATCTATCCATCCATCTGCAGGGCTACCGCGGGCAAATAGCGACCCTTTACATTAATAAAATGATGAAATATGTAGGCATTTCAGTGGGTGTTCAGAGACAGCAGCGAAAGTATATACGGGGAGTTTGACATCATGATATTCATGTGCAGGACTTTAGGGAGAGTCGCCCGCACACTGTAATCAATCACAGGCCCAGAAAAAGAAGCACGGGCAAAAACCCATCACAGCAGGAGTAAAAATAGGATGGCATCCATCTTGCTTCAATAAATAGATTCTCTTATTAATGTGGTCTGTTTGAGCAAACGGCATCTGGAAGTCAAATTCCACTTTTCCTGCTGTAAACGGTAGAATTTGGTTTGACATTTAATGGGCAATGGTCTGTGCCTTTTGCAATAAAGCAATGTAGAATATCGAACCAGAGAACATTAATATTTATGGCTTTTCTGAAGAGACTTTACTCATTAAACCACACAACTGGAAAATGAAGTCTCTGAGGAGAAAGCCCTCAAAATTATCCCGCTAATGAGTGGCTATCTGCAAAAATCGAAGAGAATTCAAATCAGGCCATGATTGTTGCTTTTGTTATTTTCTTCGACAAAAGTAAACATTTCACAGAAACGGGGTTATGATAATGCATTGCCGCAGAAGAGGGTGTCTTTTGTATTTTTTTTTTATGAAGTTTCTAAAAATGCTCATCCAAGTGGGCTAATAGAGATGAATCTGCAATTAAATTGTTTGCCTGCTAGTAATCTTTCTCTCTTTGTCTCTCGGATCCTCTTGAACTTTCTCCCCAACTCCCTCTTTTAAAGCGTCCCTCTTCTTTCCCTTTTGCTTCCCAAATCCATCTCTCATATTTTGCTACTTTAGGATGAACTGAGACAGCAGAAAAAAAAAATCCTTCCATAACGAAGGTTATGAAGAGATTACTAAGCGGATTAAAGCCAACTCCAAAGGAAGAACCAAAGATCCCTGCATCATAATCAGCCTTACGCATTCAAGCTGCTATCAGCCGCATGTCCGAAGTCTTCCTATTACACCCTTTGTGCCGGAGCTCAATCCAGAGGCCTTGATATACTCCATCTCCCCCTGCCAATTGCATTAATTGCAGCTTTGTCACACGCTGCAGTATGCAGCCAGATAAATCACTTTTGGGATGTAACATAATTCTGTTTTATTGTGTCTAAGAGGGACCGAGGAGGGATCAGTGCTGAGAAAATCATAGGAGTTCTATCACTTGATATCTTAATTATTGAGCCAATAGACACATTTGTTCTCAGTCACAATTACAGAGGACAGGGGAAACATATCTGCTGGGTGTTCTGGCAAATGATAATGATGGACGGAGGCACATCAGGATGCGTATGATTGCGATTAAAATGGTGAGTTGATGGATGTGCCACTGCAACGCTGTGGAAATCCAGATAATATATATTCTTGACCTGAAGGGGTTCAAAGAAACATCCAGTATTTTCTCTCTTACTGATGTTTGCTTCATGCTGTTTCACTACGAGGACAGCTTTGGTTCTATTTGTATTTCTGTCTACCCCAGTACACAGAATAAGAGCGAAATTGTGTGTGTGTGCTGCCTACAGCGTGATAAAATTTAGAAGAAAAATGAAGGACAGCATCTCTTTCCAGAGACGATTACTCTCAATAGATTTCACTGTGAACTACTTCAAGTGGAACTACTTGTGCTTAAGAATTTGTCCGTGGTTGACACCTTGTTCTGAGGGTTGTAGCTGGAACATGTTTTTTTTTTCTTTTTCTTTTTATGCCTTTTTTCTTTTACTTAGTGTGACCTGGAATATCTTAAAATAAGTGGAGATATTATCATGAAACTTTCATGGTCCTTAAAGAAACTCAGAAGTAGGGTTATCCAGTGAAGCATCTCGGCATTGACTTAATGGAATAACATCATGTTTTGTACTGTTGAATAATTTGAGAATTTCTCTTGATACAGATACCATCACTTTCCCTCTAGTGCCACCATGAGATTACTCTTTGTAGTCATGACTCTGGTCGTATTACTGGATCGATGGCCTTTATATTTTATGCAGGCAATCATGTAATCTTCAGAGTGAACAGTAGTACTTTTGGTCATCCACTTTCTTTTCATGTGGTTCCACCACCGACCGAATCAAAATTTCACTTTGTCTAATGCTTTGCTTTATGACCACACTAATGCCATTCCCATTACTCTTAGATGTACTTTGTGTTTAGTGCTACTTTGCCATTGTCAGCATACTCGCATGCCAAACTATGATAATGAACAGAGTGAACTTTATACCTGCTAAACAACAGTATGATGGCACTTATAATGCAGCTTAAAACTCTGCCTATACACATTTAGAGAGAAGCTGGTATAGATGCAGACTTTCAGCCTTGTTTCATTTTTCATTGGTGTAAGCACCTCAAACAAAAGTCTGTTACCTTTCAAACCATTTCATCTCTTTCATGCTCGATTACAGGCACGAATGTAAAAGAGTAGGTTTTGTTGTGATTGAGATAAATGCTTGAAGATGTTTCTAAGTCAAAGGCCGTAGATTTAGACTGTTCCAGATGGAGGAAATGGTGAATGTTTAGGAAATAAAATGTATAATAAAAGTGATATGGCTGCCCTTGACTGAAGGATTGGTTTAATGAAATATTACAGGACTAAAAAAAAAAAAAATCAGCTCACCAAGGGTAGCCAAGATACCTTGATCTCTGTGCAATATTTCTGCATTAGGATAATCCGCGCTCCCTCTTAGAAGTACTAAGAAAAGCATCCGTTTTTTTTTTCAACCCCGCATGGCCACAGAAGGCAAAGGGGACTAGATGGGGGGTTATGTTGGGGGTTAGTCCATAAGAAAACAAATACTATTTTCTTCATGGAAATACCAGAGAAGGAATTTAGCGCATTAATACAGTCACTGGTCCACTTGGAGATCCCTCTGAGGAACATGGTGGATTAGCGTGCTCCTAAGTCTGGATGTGTGTTTTCTCTTTCAAGGGGGTTTGGCTGGAAAGCTCACAGAGAGGGTCACGGCATCCCCAAGGGAGCTTCGAGTGAGATCGTACAAAGTTTCACAGAAACACCGACACACATACACGCCTACAGCTCTTCCACATTGCATATCACCAAGTTCTCCCAAACCGTATGCAGATAGGCCTAATGAGCTCCACAAGGCGCTGAAAGGGCTTTTTGCCATCTGGGGTCAGGGGGTCGGGTTACCCCTCGTGCATATCTAAAAGAGGCTCTCTGGGGTCACGCTGTGTTTATGTGGAAATACCACCTACAGTGCGATCATTTATGCATCACTTCAGCCTGGTGGGGGTTACTTGTTGAAAGGTCGGATCTTTGTGTTCGTTCCAGACGTTTTGTGGAGGAAGCTGGCAAGAGAGCGAGGTATGTGTCAGCCGAGGCTTTTTCTGTCGATGTGGGGGGATTTCAAACAGCGGGGTGGGGGGATTTAAGCACATGTCACATCTCTGGTGGAGAAAGTGAAGGTGAGAGGCTACGCGGTGCACAGAACATGCCCGAGAAGAGTGCAGTGTGTGATGATTCCTCTTCCACAATTTAGCCTTCCATACATGAATAACATACATGAGGAAAAGCGTGTGCGCTCTCTCACTGTTTGTTTCTCTCCATCTATCAAACACACACAGCGCGGCCTCATGGGATGCTTCCCATGCAAGCAAGGCCTCTTGTTCATAGACGATACAGACAGAGTGTGCACGGGGGAGACGAGTGTGTGTTTTCATGTGTGTCTTTCTGACTGCATGTCAGGTGAGCGTGAGCGGGATAGACAATGATTCTGAGATCCCATGGTCGATAAGACGCATTCATCATCCCAGAGGTGCAGAGTGCCGCGGATAGAAATGACGGAGATGGATAAAGAAGAACTGTCAGGAGGGAAGGAAAGGGGGGAACCCAAAAAAAAAAAAAAGAATTTGTGCTGAGAGTGTGTGTGTGTGAGCGAAGTGACAAGAGCACAGGAAGCGCTTTGGCATTTATAACACCCCATTTTCAAATCCTGATATATAATCAGCATGTTTGCTCTCGCTCGGCCAATCTAAACACTCGACACAAACGCCTATAATCAGCCCGAGGATTAGTGTATACCATAAATATTCAGTGAGCGACGCAGACAAGAATAGAGAGACGGGTGGAGAGTGGTGGCGTGTCAGTCAGTCTGTCCCAGACAATGGCCCAACACTGATTCTGTGCCCAGATGACCTTAGCAATAGAAACTCCATTGTGAAGCCACTTTTAATCGCATCTTTTCATTTTAGTCAGTCATAATCCGGCCTAAATGCAACTGCAAAGGCTTGAACTGTCCAGTGAGGAGACATGCTGAAATGTGTCTCCCACAGATAAACACAGTTTTTTTTTTTTTCACTGGGAAAACAAGTTGTATATTTTTTTTATGTAAGCTGAATTTGGAGAGCTTTGAGTTGACTTTTAACCAAAGATAGAAGTTTCTGTGTACTTGTTGCCAGCGGGGGTAAAACACTGATTTAGAAGGTTTAAGTGTGTGAGACATATTTGGTATGACGTGATATTAGGACGCTTTTTTCATCTTGTGTTTCTCCTCTTGCATGCAAGAGGGAGTTCTGGCATCCCAGCGGTCTTATGTACAGACGCACACACTCGTACAGCAGGCATTGTCATGGAGCCAAATATGCATACAGCAAGCATCCAGGAAATCCCAGCTAAGCACTGAACTTATCAATAATGAAGGCTTGTCAACAGATGTTATCGGATAGTATACTCCGTGGACGTCCCTTCTTTGTTTTACAGCATTCTGTTTGAAGCTCTGCAGGCTGGAGTGTGACATGTGAAAAGGACAAGATGAAGACGGCGTGACAGGAGGAAGCAGCCGGTTTAGTCAGCGGTGCAGAGATCTTACCTTCTGCAGCCACTGAGTGTTATTCTCCATGGCGTTCTCCAGACTCTCCAGCTTCCTCTCCTGCCAGGAAGACCTCTCCTTCGGGGCCTTGCCTTGCTTGGACGGGCTCGTGTCGCGCTCGGCCCCGGGCGGGGAGTCCCTCTGGAGGGTGTTGGTGACCTGGAAATCCTTTAAGGGATTGCAGTGCTCCACCTCGGGGAGGATGAAGGTGTAGCTGCAGGGGCCGTGCTGCACGCGGTGCTGTTGGCGCTCTGAGCCAGTCGCGGTGGCCAGCAGGTAGGCCAGGTAGGCGAGGGTCAGGGCCAGCAGACGGCCCATGTCAGGGTAAAACGAGGGAAAGGGGAGGGAGGGAGGAGAGGGGAAGAAGGAGGCTTTGCACCACCTGGCAGGTTTGACAAGTGGGTCACGGGAGCTTCACCTTCCGTCCTCTGGATCTTTCTCTGCTCTTTGCTGAAACGTCCCTCAAGGCGTTCCTCCTGCAGATCCAGTTTCTGTTTTATCACTTCCACTTCCCCTCTTTTGGCTGGTCTTCCTCTTCTTGCTGTTGCATCCAGAAGTCTTCTTCTTGCCCAGTTTCGTGCTCCTGCTGTTGTTCGGGAGGGCGGACAGAAAACACACACACACACAGGAAAAAGGGGATTGTTTCCTATTGTAACTCCAACACTCTGGCCAGCGCATGCAGCTCAGCCCAGGAAGCCAACGGCAGACTTCCCTCCCACCATCTATCTCTCTCTTCTGAAAAGTTACTTTCCTCACTGCCGTCTTTTCAAGCTGCTGGAGTCCATGCGTTGGTCTGGAGGAGAAGGGAAAGGAGGGGTGGAGTGGAGAGTGGCCTGCTTCAGGATGTTGGCTGAAGCGGTAAAGCTCTTAAAGTACACAGACAGAGAGAGAGAGAGAGAGAGAGTGGCGTGCCTCTCCACACACACACACACACACACACACACCTCCTTAGCACATAATCGCTCAACCACCCTTCCCTCTTTTACTTTCTCCCTCCCTATTTTGGTACTCCTGTTTGCCGAGGTTTGAAGGGGAAGCTGCAAAAACACACTCAGCTCACCACAGGAGCAAAAACCAGCAACTTTCTCGGCCAACTTTTTGCTTACATTCTCTTTCACTTTTTCTTCTGTCTCTGTGTTCTCTCAAATTTTAATGTGCTTTATTGGCACGACCAGCATTAAGGACAGCATGGCCAATACAAGGTTTACAGTAAAACTATACTAATAATTATTTGTGTCCTATTCTTTGCATTCAGTCTGTGTTTTGATGGAGAACCAGGTACCAAAGTACAGATCGATAATGATTTCCTGTCTTTAAATGCTGCAGTGCGGGGGAGTGTTTTACCTTATGTTGCAGGCTGCACAGACACTGTCTGTTTTCTCTGTTTGTCCAGTTGTGTTTGTCAACCATTCTCAGAGTCTTGGTTTTTGCAACTCAGTTTGATTTGACCAACCTATCCAGCTAAAGTCCAGTGAGGAGGAAAATTTACTATAATGATGCTGCGGCTACAGTGCACATGTTCACATTTTTTTTGAAAGAAGATAAAACGTTGGATGTATTTGTGTCCTGGGTGTCTTTAATAATCTAGTAGGGCTTTTGACCTGTTTCTGAGGACCGCAGTGCATACGGGTGCAATAGATCACAGAAAACTTACGACTGTGCCAAGACTGTCAGTGTCAACCGCTTTTAACATAAGCCTGAACACACGCAACTGCTTTGTATCCTTTTACTGCAACTCTGCGTCATGATTTAGGGTATTATCCTTCACCGAGGCCGAGGTATGTTTTCAGTGTCGTTTCTTTGACCGTCTGTAAGTAGGATTACCCAGAAACTACCAGGCCAAATCTCATGAAACTTTTTGTAAAGATGGACTGCGGCCAATTACATTTTCATGCAGATCTAGATCACTTTCTTTGAAGACCTTCTTCAGTAGAAAGACATGGAAAAATCTTTGAAATATGTAACTTTGATTGACAGAGATGAGTTTTAGGGGTTTAATCAATGATTGGATTTACAAACACTGCATACAGGAGATCGGTCTTAGTCCATCCATCCATCCATTATCTATACACCACTTAATCCTCATTAGGGTCGCGGGGGTGCTGGAGTCTATCCCAGCTGACTTAGGGCAAAGGCAGGGGACACCCTGGACAGGTCGCCAGTCATTGGTCTGAGTGGACTCTGATATCCAAGTGCCCTTCCAGTACTGGGTAACAGTGGTAATAAACTGTATCAAACGTTTTGATGGTTAAACTTTGCAATTAATCTGCTGTTCACCCACATGTCGAAACGTGGGTGGGAATCTGTGCCGCTCACAGATCAACTACAGTCCACTAATGCAGTAATGATGGAGAACATCACACTTTAATGCCAAGTATTACATGCTTTTTAACAAATATCTGATACCGACTGTTGCTAAGTCTTTTATGCAACATTTAACATTTGTGACGAACCGTTGTAAAGTTCATATTCTACTCCAAACATTGGAAACCAATAAATCAGCTCGACAAGCTTCGAAAATGCTTCGAGTAGGATTCTCTCATTTGTTGAAGTAATGACTAATTTTGACCAAGCGTTACTTTTAAATGATGTTATTTCAGCATCAACGTAAAGCACCTGTGCACTGTGTTTATCCTACATTATACGAAATGGGTCCAGTTGTGGTGACGTCAAATGATTGGACTGTCAAAACACATAGCCACCCCCCCCAAAGCGCTGAAATCGTGGGACTAAGAACAACATTATCACCCGAGTCCTTCCAGATATTGTTCCACTTAAATCCTAACAGTGCCCTTTGGAGAACACTAATAGAGACTATCATTATAGTTTTGACCAAATGATTGCACAAGCTAAAATAAACACCAATGATTTCTTAGGAAAAAGAAATTTTAATTTCACTTCCACTTAACTGTCTTTCCACAGAGCTATACAGCAGGAGTCGGGCTCAATGCTGTTTAATTGTTCATAGAATTTAATTGCACTACTTTACATTGGCCTAATTCATATTGGCATCGACTGTTTGCTCTGTTCACTGTGAAGGATGTTCCAAATCTCTCTCCCTCTTTTTTCTGTTGCATTGTCAGCCAACCCTGCCTCTCTGTCCCTTTTCCATTTCCCCCCACATCTACACAATTACAGTTCCATTCATATCACTGCAATTCTCCAATGCATCATAAATGCCCTCCCGGCTTAATCTCCTGCTGCGCCATGAAAGATTCAATCCACGCTACAAACACACAGATCATGCACTTAATCATAGTCTGAATGAACGAACTCACAGCGGGGCCCCAAAAACTCACTTTCAATACATCCTGCTTCTTTTCAATACTCTCCTGTGACAGTGATCAAGCATCCAACAAGCAAAAACGCGACTCTCCGAGGATAACAAGAGGGGAAGTTGCCCCGTCACACATCCGACATGAAGGCTGTTTGTTTGCTTCCTGTGATCAATACTCCCAGAGAGGAACAAACCGATATTAGACTTTCAAATTCAACCTTTTTCTTCCTTTTCTCAGTTTGGCCACTTATCCCCTCCATGTTGCATGAGGAAACCAGTGTACAGTAGGAGAGTCTTAATCCCACATATACTTTCCATGCACTGTACACTCTTATCTCCCAAGCATGATGAGCATTCCACACTGCCACTGTTGTGTGGACGCCTAATGACCCAGCAGCTTTAAAGCCCAGTGTGTGGCCACATCACTCAGCATACCAATGACTCGGATCTATGGTGGTATGCATCTAGACATATCCACCGCGGTCATGCGTGCGCTATACACACAGCGGCCACCTTGCGAACACGACACGACTGATTGATTTTCATAAGGAAATTAACTTCATTGCGTAGCTGATGGCGCTGATTTCACATGCAGAGCTGTCAGCGTGTGATGTTCTCTCCGGGAAACAAGGAACCCTTTACTTCAAATTATTGATGCCGTTTTTTTTTCCTTCTGCACAGTGTCTCTCTTTTAATGGTGAGACGCTAAATTGACTTGTTTGTTGTTTAAATTACGTTGCTTTCAACTACCGCTCACGAGAATTCCCTGCAGTTTCTCACTTTGCCTGAGATAATAATGTCAGATGTCACCTTATGCTCAGCGCAGTCCCAGAATTGTGAAAATTGGCAACCTTCAATACAAAGCGATTGAAAACAAAAGCGTCTTTCCCACTGAGATGATTTATGCACCAGCACAAGCATGCTGCTGTTTTTATGTGCGAAAACATTGTACGTACGAGGTGAAATGGATTCAGCAAAGCGTATTGGGTAACAAGACGCAACAGAGTAATGATCTCGTGCAAACTCACTGACAATGCAATATCCTGAGGGAGAACTCACAACCGTGATCCCTTTGTGGCCTCTTTCTGGAGAATCAAAAAAAAAAAAAAAGAGCACATTTTTATTGCACTTAGTTTTTCACATAAAGACAGACGAAAAAGGGAAAAAAGCGGGATTAGATCTTTTTGGCAGAAGGGACGGGACGGAGCGAAAAAACAAACCGAGCAGCGATCTTGAGCGAGTCACGTTGGAGAGCGATACATCGATACGATTATTTATGGAGATGGCTTGAACAATCGAAATGCCTCAGGTCTGTTGTGTGTCCAGGAATACGCTATGCATCATCAGACTGTTTCCAGTGTTCAATCACCGCACGAGGGTAAATATTTAATACAGAGTCTGCTTTCAGTTACGCAACTGGATGTGAGTGAAAGTGAAAAGTGGTTGTTGGTGTGTGCTGAGAGGAGTTTGACTTCTGTCCAGTATTCTTTCATAAAACAAATATCTGGCCATAAACTAAGCCCACATCCCATTCTCAAACACCGTGTATAGTATCTCACATTATTTATATCTGTGAAATTAGGTGCACTGTGGGATACATATGGAAAAAACGCCCAAAACACGCTCCCTACATTTCACACGTACGGTGCATGTTTTTGTCATTACACGGTCACAGACTTAAAAAGATAAGTGGAATTAAAAACAAAGGTGACACCCTAAAAAACTGTTACACACTTTGAAACCTCACACTGTGAATTATGCGCGACAATAAAAAAAACCTGTGTTGAGATATTTTCACATCATCTGAACTATTTTTAGGTTTGTCCCAGAAAATGCGAAACATCAGGAAACATCTCATACAGGTTAAGTGCTTTGTTTATGGAAATGTACGTTTCAAACATAAACACATTTTCTGCCATATAAAACAGCGTTTGGTGTAAAAAGAAATTGCCACGGGCCCATAATTCACAGCGTTCTGCAGTTAAGCGTTCTCCCAGGGGAACACTGCTTGTTTAGTTTAGTGTCTCCTGTCAGGCCAAGGTATTTCCCGCTGCTCCCTGAAGGCCCTGAATCAATCCGCCTGCTGGATTTGAAGGTGACATTCAGCCTCCCCTCCCCTCTGGTCTGGATCGAGCGACTGGGTTTCTTCCTCATCTGCACGGCTGTCACCCAGCCCTGTCCCTTGGGATCAGTAAAAAGTGACAGCAGGAAAAAAAAAGTGAGCTATCATTCTGCGGATTAAAAAGGAGTTAAAACAAAAACCATTAAGTAAATTGTTTTTATTCAGTTTTTTTGGAATCAGAGCTTGCTATGCTGAAGGCTACCCGAAGTGATTTTGTTATTCTAGCAGAGTGGTGGGGAGTATCCGGCCTATGGTACAGCCTCGCGCAGTGGGACCCATCACTCCACACAGCAATCTAAACCTTCCTCCTGGGCAGGGTGGAAAGACCATAGAGGGAGAA